TTTTTTTTAATCGATGTATAGTGATCAAATTTATTTATCTTATCCAAGTATAACTCCGTTCAATGCAGAAAATAGTATATACTGAAAAAACTTTGGTATTTACACGCTACGACGTAATGAAAATTATTAAATAAATCAAATTTAGAATAATATAAATATTTTAACAAAATTGAAGTAGAATGATCAGTCATGACTATAGAAATTTTCTCCTTTAAGTATGCATAAGAAATTTGACGTGTAATTATCCTTGAAATTATTGTTATTATTATTATAAATCATCATTATTATATTAACGTAATGTTTTGAACAACACATATAATTAAATAATCATAATTATGTGTTAATATAATTGGAAGATCAAATTTTTAACTGTCTTGATATATATATATATATATATATATATATATATGTATGTATGTTTACTGTAGCGCGCTCTAACTAGAATTTCAAAACCAATAGGTGACTGCCTTTCTTCTTCTTCTTCCTCTCCTCGTTCTCTCAGGTACTGTTCTGTTACATATTTTTATTTATTTTTCTTCATTTAACTTAATAATTAGTAAACCTAATTGCAAATATTAATCACTTTTCATTACTGTGTTTTTTCGCTTTCGTTTGCATCTTGCTTTTATTTTGTGGCTTTTGGTCTTGCTATCGATCTCACTAAATTGTTGCTTTTGCCTTTGATAGCTGGTTTCTCAAATTTATTCGCAATTGATACCGCAGCATCTCATTCACCTTTTTCCTGCGATTTTGGGGTATGGCTATCGCTTCCGCTTTCCTTCTCTATAGTTTGAATTTAATATCTTTAATGTTTTTGAATGCGATTTCTTTAATGATTTTGAATTTGAATTTGTTTTCCTTGAGTTGGTGTACTTGATTCATACATGGAATTTCACAAACCTAGAAGCCTCATGGGGTTGACTATGGGAAAGAAAGTATTAGCAGTAGTATAGGTATTATGTTCCTTTGGAGTGATGTATTATTTATACTAAAATCTTTATTTTTTTCATCACATTAAACGAGTTAGTAAGAGTAATACGATATTTTTTAATAATTTTGTTTTATTTTAACTCAGAAAAGTCAGATTTCTGCCTCCTCCATTGGAATGTTTTTGTGGGAAATTTTACTAAAAGTCATTTTCGGGAAGTGTGGTTTATTCAACAGCTCTTTTTTCGACTTCTTGTTTTGTTCTCATTTCACCAAAGAACCCGTGCACTTATTTGAATTTGAAATTGATCAATCTGTAACCATTATGCAAATCTTCCTAGTTATGCAAATCTCTGTTAGTGCTACTAATATTTTATCCCTGGTTTCATTTGAAAAAGTTATTCAAATTTGATGTTGGTGACACCGATCTAACTAGTCAGTGCTTGCTTGATTTAAAAGACTTTCATACCCTATTCAATTAAAAGAGATTTTCACAACTCATTCCTTTTAGATTCTTATGCCTCATCCTTTACTCCTTATGTACGATATTGCATTGTTCACTCATGCGTTCATACGTCATAAACTTTATTTTTTAAGTTTGTGTTACAGTGTCCAGTAACAAAGGCTTTGCTTTCTAAAGGAGGTGAATCAGGATAATGGCTAAATTTGTTGCCCCTGGAAACTTGATGATCAAAGATGAAAACTTGGATATTCATTCCAAAAGTAAGCCTTTTATGTTATGTTGCTTGTAATAACAATTCCCAGCAACTAGAGTGGATTCTATTGATTACCGATGAAAAAGTTTTCAACGAATCAACTAGTTTAGAATTTGTCTTTGCATTCTGTAACATTATGGGTTTTGTTTATCCTTTGTTTGCTTGGGTAGAGATTGTCAAGTCGAAGAATTCCAAGACAGGTGGAAAGAAAGGTGGTTCAGGGATTGCAAGTCGAAAAGCTTTAAATGATATAACAAACAAAGCATCATTGCACCCTGAAACCTCAATTAAGAAAAAGAATTTACCCAAGGAAGATATTAATGTAAAGGAGGAAATGTTTTTGCATGATCACAAGAAGTGCATTGAGGCCCAAAAAGCTGCAATGAGAAATTTCGATCTGGAGACAGTTCTTCCAAAAGATGGTAATCCTTCATACCTTGATTTTACTTCAGCATTCAATGGGTGAATGTATGGTGTGCTTAGCAATTCAGAATTTATTATTTTTTATTTTCAGTTACCTTCTAATTTTGATATCAACTAAATCAATGTCTTAGGTTTTAGCTTTAAAGTAACAAGTAAACTGTTGTTTTGAGTTTTAGGATGAGATTGTATGTGCGGTAATATTGGCATGAATACGTTCTTAAGTGAAGTAAATATTTTCTAGCTCTCTTGTATTAGAGAATACCAGAGTAGTTGAATGGCCACCATAGAAGCCCTTCGGCACTACATAGTGGAACTTCTCAGATCTGCCGTTCCTTCGGCTATTGTGACCACTGTCGTTATTGTAGTTGCAGCATGTGTTTTGCATCCTCTTCTCATCTCTGACGAGCCTCCACCATTTGAACTTTCGAGTTCATAATTTGCATAAGAACGTAATTTTTTTACGTATATTTAAACCATTAGTGATTTCCACTGTATGTCAACCGTCCACTGTATGATAGCAAATTATGGGCTTTTTGCCATTTTCTGCAACTTCCAATCCATAACACTATGGGAGAATACAATGAAGATAAGTTTGGCACGAGGAACTTTTGACAAAAAATATTTCTTGTCAATTGAGTTCCCTTAATATACCCGAATACATTCCTACTCAAACTTTTGGTGAATTAAATTTGGATGCCACTCCCTGTCTATCATGTTGATGGTTATTATTATCAAGAGATTATATTGATAAAATTCCTAACCGACTTTTATGTCTGCAGATTCCATGTTTATTCTAGAGCAGATAAAGGTATTATTGCCATCTTTCATAAGCTGAAAGGATACTTTGAGAACTACTTCACTGTCACACACACACAACAGTCAGTAATCTATCACTAGAAGTTTATATAAATTTACGCATTTGTTTGATTACACTTTACTGTTATCTTTCCCTTGTCTAACATTTTCGTGATCTTCTCTGTTTAGGTTCCTGAATCCCCTCGATGCTACCCAGAACCAGTAGAATTGCCAATGTCAGATTTTTCTGATTGGTTGGACTATTCGATTCAGTGGAGCTCTCCTCCATCGTCTCCATCACCGTGGGACTCTCCACCATCTCCCCTTGCGTGGCAAAATAAAGCATTTGAATTTGTTCTGAAGGAAGAAATCGATGCCAAAATGTAACCTAATTTTTCTTCATCTAATAGAACAAATGGAACTCCACCGTTTAAACCTCATGTTTTTTTTAATTCTCTTCTCAACCTTGGAGAAAAGTCAGTTTAAGAAGTTTTGTTCCACAAGTGACAAAAAAACAAGGGTCAAACCAATTCTTAGTTCTACCATCTCCAAAGCCAATATTAGTTACCTGATTTTGGTGCTGAATAGAAAACATAGAATACCATAGCCTATCAAAATTAAATAAGAAACATATACTAAAGCTTATTTTTATTTATTATTTGACTTAAGAATCAAACTCTTTATATTTAAACACAACCAAATATGAAATAGTTGTTTCCTGTGGTTTGTCTGTACTCTTCAGTGAGGAGGAAGTTGCAGGGAATTTTCCTTCATTTAATTACCCTTGTCGGGGTAGGAAGTTGCCTGTAAGTTTCCTTCATTCTTTCCTTTGTTTCTGCCAAACTACTACTTTCTACTTTTATGAAAGACCCATAGTTTATTTTGTTTTTGAGTTAAATTTTGTTCTCCAAACTATGAACGACCCATAGTTTAACCAACCTACAATAACATATCAATAATACATTTGTTACCTTTTTAATCATGTTCGATGAAATCGACTAGATTATTTTGTTTTTGAAAAATGAAAGCTAATTAAAAAATAATGGGATGATGTTGAAAATATCTTAAATAGTAGACTGAGACAGACTGTTAAACCAAAGAAAAAAAAATTATTTTGTTGTACTTAAATAAGAACTGAAGGAACAACTGATAGTATTTTATAAAAGGAAAGCTAAAACATGATAAATTAAGAAGATGAAAATATTTGTTCTATCTAATTTTAGCTTTTGCATTTCAAAATACTTGCCTATTCAAAGTAACATTCGAATCTTTTAATAGATACATGATACATTTATTGTTAATTGTTTAAAAAACAATTTCTAAGAAAATATTGTAGAATTATTTTAAAAAATTAAGAAAATTAAAATGTTTTTAATCTTGAAATATAGTTATATTTACTTTTAACCTCTTAAGTATATGCGCGTTTTGGTTCTTATCACTTTCATATTTTGATTTCCATTATTTTATTCTAGTCCTTATAAAATGTCCTTTTTGTTTTTGTTCTAAAAATTTGTAAAACATTTGCTTTTGGACCTGTCAACTTTATATTTTTTGAAAACTAATTTAAATAAACAGAAACAGAGATTAAAAACAAAAATATCGGACATTTTATAGACTAAAAAAACAAATCACAACCATAAAATTAAATTTTACAAAAGATCAAAAGTTAAGCAGAATTTTTCACAGACAAAAATAAAATACAACAATGCTTTAAAAGACAAAAGACACTTAAAAAAGAGTGAAAAAACGGTCAAATACGCCTTATTTATCCTGCAGTAGCAATTTGAATTCTGCACTTATAACTATATTTATGATCATTTTTTTGCAAAGTATTCACTAATGTTGACTTAGATAACTAAATTTAAATTGAATTGTTGGACTGTATTTCTCCCAAAATTGATACAATCTTCTGGTTGCTTTAGAAGTAAAAATAGTTTGAGTCTCTCTCTTAGCTGTAATCCAAAAAAATACACCAAATCCCTCACAAGACTTGCTTTCATTCTGGTCATTCTTTATCTTGTTGAATGAGTGAAGCCTTTAACAATGGTAATTCTGGATACATTTTCTAATGCGTGATTCAAAGTAATTAAAATGCAGGACTGCATTATAAGGGAGAGGGCGTGAACAGATACGAAATCATAAAAAAAAAAACTGGAGCAAATTATAACTATGACAATATTTTTTCAATGCCAAAACATGCATTAGATCTCTCAATCTCATCTAGCACTTAGATATCATATCCACCGCTTTGTACACATTATTGTTCACACATTCTTTTTCATAAAAGCAGTAAGATGCAGCAAATTCCCAGTATGATATATGTTTGCCTCTTACATATCAGATTATGTGTTTGAGAGAAAGTATTCTGTCACTTTTTTCTAGATACAGCTGCTGCAATCCCACCTGCTAGAAGTCCTACAGCAGTAGCAGCAATGCCTAAGCCAATTACACCATCTGCATGAAAAAAAAAGTGTCATTGTTTTATCAGAGAGTCAAGACCAAACTGATTTCCTCTTGCATAGAGAGGAAAATGCAGCACAAAAATTAAGTAGATCATGAACAATTGATGGTGACCTTTTGTGATCTTATCCTCGATTGCCTTCTTGAGTGTCACTGCCTGCCTCCAGTCGGGTGCAATCTAAGGAAAAAAACAAAACATTACCACGATGTCACATTAAACTATACATGCAAAAATGCTGCATCATCGGTCATATATAAAAATTTGAGGATGCGTTTTGTCCTTGCTTGGAATTTGTTGTTGGATTTGGAGAGGGATATCATAAAACTCCCAAAACTCAAAAAGTATAAGTGGTAAAACAACATTAGAAAACATGGTTAGATATTATGCTACGGACACAAGTCAAGAACAACCTCCTTCAGTGTAAAACAACACACAACCTCTCTCTCACACTGATTAAGGGAAATCAATAGCAGAAAACACAGGTCAGTGATGTTTGTTCTTCACACAAAAAAAAGGGTTAAATCATTATGCTGTATAGTTAGGATTTGACTCCTCTAATATTTGCAAAGATAAAGTAAGCAATATCAGTCGATATGTGAAACTCATGCATAAGAAATTACAGAGGAGACTAAAATGTCAAGATTGAGATTCCTTACTTTATCCATACTTGTTTAGAGAAGCCAAATACGAAATAACACACAGACAAACATAAATAAGACGGATGGACAGACACATACCGTGAGGCACCTGTCGACAAGATCCCTACTCCTTGAATAGTCACCATTTCTAAAGTATCCAACAGCCAGAAGATAAAGCTTCTCCCTTTGCTGCAGTGGGTCCTTTGTAGAAGGCAAAGATGCTGCCATTTTCATGTAAACACATACATGCATGCATACATACATATTATTTTACCATCAATCAACATAGAACATACATATCTATAATGCACAGATATACATACCTGCATCACATATAATACGTGATCTGATATGCCATATGTTTATTTAAAATAATAGAACACGATATTTAGGCATATTGAACATTGTACAAAAATTCTTAAAATCAGAATAAATATATGTTTACTATAATGTGAATCCAAATTAAAATCAGTATTACCAGTTTATATATTAGAGTAAAATATCCTAAGGATCCGGATACTGGATACATACAGATAATATAATTGCATAGCATTATAAAAGAGTAAAAGAGAGAGACCTTCAAGCATGGCTATCCCACGGTGCACATCTTGAGGATGTTTGGAGTGCACAAGAGCCCATGATAAACGCAATAGACAATCTTGCATATGCTCATCAGAAGATAGTTTCTCTGCCTCCAGTACCTCCTTTTCACACCCCTGCAAGTGCAATCTCAAACACTTAACACACAGAAACATATAATGAAATTGATCAAATTGAACAACTTTGAGATTGGGAATGAAAACCCTAAGAGAGAAGAAGATACATACAGCGACGATGTCAGAATCGCAATAGGGAAGATGGTCTTTGCCCGAGAAGAACTGACCCACCGAATCCATGATCATCCCTAGCTTCGCTTCAATCTTTGCCATCGAATGCAACACTGACCGAGTTCAAACCGAATTCAACTCACTCTATTTGACTTCAAAAACTCGCTCCTTCTTCAGATAAACTCAGACCATTTGGATTTCACGCTAACACCGCCTTCTCATATTAGTATGTTATTCCCATAAATATATTATTATTTATTATTATAATATTAATAATAACAGTTATTATTTATTTTCTATTTAATTGAAGCAATTGGTGTACAATAATGTATATTTATTGTCCCGTTTTGAAAACTTAAGAATTAAGTCTAGATAACGTCATACACGTGTCTTGTGGGGCCACTAAATAATCCACTTGCTAAAATTTCACACCTCTTCTTTAGGGATGGGAAACTGACCAATGGGGTTCATGGTATCAGATATTTTAATAATTTAAACCAAGATGGAGACAAGAATATGATGGATATTAGAACATGAGATATATATACATATTCATTTTCATTCCTAATTAAAAAAATTAGTATTACACATATCCAATCATTCCGAACTCCTCAAAAACAAAAACAAATTCTAACAATATTTACAAAAAACAAATTGCTTTGTCATCCTTGACTAAATGGCTTATGAATCCAATAAACGATCTAGAATTTTTCTTTTAAAAATGCACATTAAGGTTTTCCTTTTACATACTAAAAGATGATGTTTATTATTATAGTTATTTATTTTACACGCAAAAACACGTTTTAAACATCGTTCTCAAGACAAGGACTAAAGAGTCTGCATGGGAAATTGCAAGGTGCCTTGGTAACGATACAACCAACTTTTTGAGGTGAGCTTCTCTTCTTGGCTTCTTCGAAAGAAGTTTAACCTTAAGAAAAATGTTGGGAACATATTTTCCTGAAAACCCTTTTTTTGACTGAAAATTTGGATTAATAAGTTCTGGTTATGAAGAATGTGTTATTAACACTTCACTTATGCAAGTACAAGGTTGAGAGCTTACACAAACATGTTGGTATTTGTCCATTTAAGAATGATAACATATTTATTTCTTGTTCATAACAAACTACAATTCTGAAGGAACATGCTTAGCTCCCTGTACATTTTCATTACTTACAAACCACAAATAATCCTGAGTGCTAAGCCAAATTGTCATACAAAATAAATAAATAAAATTAAAAAAAAAAAACAAAACAAAAATCTCCATCTTATGGTTTTCACAAAAACTAATTATCTCTATCCCCATTCACTTTCTTGGTTCGTGTAAAGAGAGCCTCACACAAACTACTGATATGAATCTAATGACTACTTGTAGCAGATTAGTAACTTGGAAAAAGTGAACAAAACCAAACCATTCATGACACAAGATGTACATTATGTACCCTGCAAGGCTTCACAAAACTAAAATCTATGAGGATAAAAGAGTGGTTTCACAAATCCCCCATCATTCTATGCTTTCATTGGTACCTGATGTACTTCTCATTCAGATTCTTCAGGGAATGTACCCTTCACTCTACAGCTAAATGAATTAAGATCTTTAACCATCTAATAGGATTCTTGCCT